TGGTTTCCTGGGGATTGGTCCAGAGTCTGCTGGGCCCTCATAGACGGCTGGGGCACGAATCAACTTATTAGCCTAGTAAGGCTTCCTGAGGCCACAGTTCCTGAGGCCACAGCCTCCCTAAACCGGCAGTGGGTTTTAGGGGGATCGGTCCTCTTAAAAGACGGATTTTAGGGGTACCGTTCCCCCTAAAACGGGATTTGATGTTAGGGGGACCGTCCCCCCTAAAATGGGAGAGGGTTTTTAGGGGGGCTGGTCCCCCTAAAACGGGATTGGATGTTAGGGGGACCGGCTCCTTATAATTGGAGGGTATTTAGGGGTGCCGGTCACCCTAAAATTGGAGGGGATTTTAAGGGGGGCCCGCCGTCTTAAAACGGGAGGACTTTCCTTTGAATTCAGATGGGATTGTAGGGAGACCGCCCGAAAGTGGAAAGGAATTCCCTTAAATTCAGATGTGATCTTAGGGAGACCCGTCTCCCGAAAGCAGAAAGGGGGGTTCCTGGGGCTTCTTGGGCCGGAATAGTTTTTCAACAGTGTCAGGTACCGTTCTCGATTTACGGCGGACGCTAACGCCTTGCTCGGCACTGGCACGACCAGGAACGGGCAAGTGCACGCCACCCTGAATTCTGATTTCAGGCAGACTCTTCGGGTGAGCCACCAGATGCTTGCAGCCGAGCTTCGGACTGGGGCGCCGTGGAGTTTGCGCTCGCGCACAGGGCCCTCGCAGGTCGCACAACTGTTCGGGTGAAACACGCAAGCATGCGGCCGTTTGCGGTTGCTTCGACCCAGCTGCTTGGGCGGGCCAGCTGGTCTGCGCACTTGAAGAGCGCGCAGGCGCAATTCGATAGTTTTGTTCCTGAAGCGACAACGCGGCGAATGCCGCGCCATGGTCCTTCAGAGCGCCAGGAAGAAGTCTTCCGGTGCATCCGGGAGGCAACACGCCCGGGGGGGCGCGCTGCAATCTTCGACCTCTCAACCAAGAAGAGGTGCACCTCATCTTGCCTCTGGCAGCAGTGGGGCGAGCTGCACAAGTTGCTTCCCGCGCTCTTTCCTCCCGCGCAGCCTGAACGAGAATGGGGCCCCGCTACGCTCGCAGTAGGCGGTCCCAGTTTCCTTCGGAAGATTTGCAATTTGGCCTTGAAGGGCCCCTCGAGTTCTCAGGAGGCCCAAGGATGCCCAATCATGCTTCAGGAATCCACATGAAGGTCCAGCCGTGCACTGTTGTGTGCTGTTTTGCGTTCGTATGTGACACAATACATACGACAAGTAAGTTGCATGTTTGCACATGACACATGACAACACCCAAGTATATACAATGCAATTTATATAGCCATCAAATAAATCAAGTGCGCATATAAATATATACATATATTTACAACATATCATAATAATTGAGAGAGCGTAATCCACCGCCGCTTTACTGTGGAAAAAAATACCAACCTTTTCCTCCAGAGCCCGGGCCCCCCCCCCCCCACCCCCCTCCGAAAATCCCCGCCCCCCTGCTGGAACCCCTCCCCCCCTCCCCCCCCCCCCCCACCCTCACCCCTCCCGGCAAAAACCCCCCCCCTCCCCTAACCCCTCCCCCCCCCCCCCCGTCCCCCTCGAAAACCGGGGGGGGGGGGGGGGGTCACTGCCGGTTCGAACCCCTCCCCCCCCCCCTTCCCCCCTCCGGATCCGGAAAACCGAGGGGGGTCACTACCGGTTGGACCCCCCCCCCTCGAAAACCGGAGGGGGGCCACTGCCGGTTCGACCCCCCCCCCCCACACACGCGCACCGCACCGCCAGCAAACGACTCCCGGCCCCTACCACCGCTCGCATGACATCCCCCACTGTTGTTCCCAGCACCACTGTCCTCACCACCACTGCCCCCGCTGGTTCCACCACCGTCCCTATTGTCCCCACCAGTGCCCCCACCACTGTCGCACTGTCCCCACTGTTCCCACAACTGTTCCCACCACGGTTCCACTCTCCCCACTGTCTCCACGGACCCAACCACTGCCTATCCCCAGTGTCCCCACTGTCCCACTGACTCCTCCGCTGTCCCACTGAGCTGTCCCACTGTTCCCACCACTGTCCCCACTGTCTCCACCACTGTCCCCGCTGTACCTCTGTCCCATTGTCCCACCGCCGTCCTCGCCGACGCCTTTGCCAGTGCCCCCACCACGATTGTACCCTCCACTGTCCCAGTGTTTCCACTTCATTCCCACTGTCCCCGCACCACTGTCCCCACCACCACCGTTCCCACCACTGTCCACTGCCCCCCCTGTTCCCACCATTGTCCCCACCACTGTCCCCACCACTACCGCCCCCACCGCTGCCCCACTGCCCCCCCGTTGCCCCCGCCACTGCCCCGCTGCCCCCTCGCCGCTGCCCCCACCAACACCGCCCCCACCACTGTCCGCACCCCCACTCGGTCTTCGAGGGGGGCGCGTGGGTCACTTTACAACCAGAAGCGCACTTTACAACCAGATGGGTCACTTTACAACCAGCTTGCAAAATCCGAGAAGGGCACTTTACAACCAGGAAGGGCACTTTACAACCAGGCAAGTAAAAACACATATTGAATGCACGCGTGCCTTTCCCTGAAATCTCCGTGGGCAAGCGCAAGGGTGGCTTTGGGCTCTTTGAGGCATGTTGGTTGTAAAGTTGCCCATCGCGCACGAAGAAGCACTGCGCGCGAGTTGGCGATGCGGCGACCTGGTGCGCTATGGCATGTTGCGTGCTGGTGGGCGGATTCGAGTTTTGACCTGCTCTCTAAGCTTCTAAGCTCTGTCGGTCAGTTCTGCCATTGCTTGCTCTGCTTTTTTTCTGACGGGCGAAGGCTAGTCGCGCAGGACATACGAATAAACCATGATCCCGTCCAAGACTGGAGGTCCCCCATCTTGTTTTGCAGGTGGGAGTAGGGAGGAGGGAGAGGAGGAGACTGTACAGATGCCACAAACGTCAGCATTACAATCACAATCGCCCTCATCGGCGGCATCATCTCCACCATCATCTCCACCATCATCATCATCATCATCATCATCATCATCACCATCACCATCATCAGTATCATCAGTATCAGCATCATCAGCAGCAGCATCATCATCACCCACAACCCTCACGGAGGAATGAGGAACAGGAGGGAGGAGGGGGGGAGGAGAACGAGGAGAAGGAATAGGAGGAATATGGAGGTTCCGCTCCTGGGCGTAAGACGCTGGGGCAAGGGGTGAGACGTTTCAGGAGGAGTGCGGAAGGGTCTGGAGGAATGGGAGAACCCCAGAGGATTGGGAGGAGTGCGGAGGGTTGAGGGGAAATGGGACGGTTGTGGGAGGTGAGGAAGGAGTGCGGAGGCGTGGGGAGGACTGGGAGGGTTGCGGAGGTTTCGGGGGGGAGTGCGGATGGGTGGGGAGGAATGGGATGGTGGAGGAAATCTCTTTCGGGAGGAGTGCGGAAGGGGTGGGGGGGAATGGGGCGGTTGCAAAAGGTTTGGGAGGAGTGCGGAGGGATGTGGAAGGATGAAAGGGCTGCGAAGGTGTCGGGAGGAGTGCGGAAGGGCGTGGAGGAATGGGAGGGTTGCGGAGGTCTCTTTCGGGAGGTGTGCGGAGGAGTGGGGAGGAACGGGACGGTTTCACAAGGTTTGGGAGGAGTGCGAGGGGATGTGGAGGCATGGGAGGGTTGCGGAAGTTTCGGGAGGAGTGCGGAGGGGTGTGGAGGAATGCGGGAGGTGCGGATATGTGCGGATGTCCCGGGAGGAGTGCGGGGGAGTGGGGAGACATGGAAGGGCTCCGGAGGTTTCGGGGGGAGTGCGGAGGGATGTGGAGGAATGGGACGGTTGTGGAGGTTTCGGGAGGAGTGCGGAGGGGCCTGGAGGAATGGGGGAGGTGCGGATGTCTGGGAGGAGTGCAGAGGGATGTGGAATGATACAAGGGTTGCGGAGGTTTCGGGAGGAGTGCGGAGGGATGCGGGGGAATGGGAGGGTTGCGGAGGTTTTGGGAGGAGTGCGGAGGGATGTGGAGAGATGGTAGAGTTGCGGATGTTCGGGAAAAGTGCGGAGGGGTGGAGAGACTGGCAGGATTGCGGAGGTTTCGGGAAGAGTTCGGAGGGGTGTGGAGGACTGGGACGGTTGCGGAAGGTTTGGGAGGAGTGCGCAGGGTGGGGGGGAATGGGACGGATCGCGGATGTTCGGGAGGAGTGCGGAGGGGCGGAACGAATTCGAAGGGCTCCGGAGGTTTCGGGAGGAGTGCGGAGGGATGTGGGGGAATGGGAGACTTGCGGAGGTTTTGGGAAGAATGCGGCGGGGTGTGGAGGAATGGGAGAGTTGCGGATGTTCGGGAAGAGTGCGGAGGGGTGAGAAGAATGGCAAGATTGCGGAGTTTCTGGGAAGACTGGGACGGTTGCGGAAGGTTCGGGAGGAGTGCGGAAGGGTGGGGGAGAGTGGGGCGGTTGCGGGGGTTTCGGGTGGAGTGCGGAAGGGCGTGGAGCAGTTGGGAATAGTGCGGAGGGGCGTGGAGGAATGACAGGTTTCGGAATTTTTGTTGGCGGAGTGCGGTGGGGTGCGGACGACTGCAGGGGAGTGGCGAGGACTGGGAAGGAGTGGGGGGCCTGCGGAGGAGTTGGGAGTGAATGGAATTTAACGGAATGCAGCGGGGGGCCTCTGTCGTAGACCTCGCCCGAGAGGGCCTCCAGGGGGCCTTGCGAAGATCCACGGGGGCTCCAAGACGACCCCCAAAGAGGCTCCACGCGGACTGACGGACGGGCCCAGAGGCGACAGCACTGGCATCGTCGACGGTGATGGTCGGAGTCGTGCCGGGCCAGAAGCACGACGTGCCCGTGGCGGTCGTGCAACGCTCTAGGGGTCTGCCGAAATTGTCGGGGCGCGGCATGCGGAGTCAGCCATCGGGGCCTTCCGTGGAGTTCCCGATGGGGCAACGAGGTGTGGCAACGACGATAATGGCGACAGTGATGATGGCGATGATGGTGATGATGTCTGCGCGCAGCGACCCCAATCGCACGCGGCAGGACTACTTGGGCTTGAACTTAAGAGCCTCGCTTGTGACGAGGGTCGAGAAACAGCGCGGGCACGGCACTAGCTTCGGGGCCGGCGGCTTGGGAATCGGCACAGTGAATAAGTACAGTTTCAGCCGCCGGAGCAGCATGCCAGCCTGCCCCTGCGGGCGCTGCGACGACTCGGACGAGAGGCCCGCCAGCGCCGTCTCGGGGCAGGTGACAAAAATCGGGGCGGACCCCATGTACACCTTGTGCCCGACGTGCTGGTTCTGGGGCATGGTGATGGGCACGGGCTTGCCCTCCAGCCACAGGAGCTGGATGGACAGGGGGAGGTCCTCATCGATGAACATCCACTCGTCCAGCACCGCGGCCTTGGCCTTGTCCAAGCCGTGGAGGCAAAACTGCCCCCCGCCTGGCCTCTCCTGCACGTGCTCACCGCCGAACAGCGGCCGAACCGCCGAGAAGAGAAGAGACTTCCCCTCTCCGCCGAAGCGCCCAGCCAAGGTGACCACCGGGGCCGCCTCGGACCGACCGTGCTTCAGGGACATCAAGATGCTGCTGCACAGGTCGGGGACGTCGATGCGATTCATCGACAGGCTTTCGCGGACGTGGTGCAACCAGCGGCCGCCGCAAACGCAAGGCGTCCGCAAGGCCTCCTTGAACTGTTGCATGACGGGTTTCGTCGCGTCTTCGAGGAAGCTGTCCACGTTCTCCCACGCCCAGGCCTTGTCGATGATCTTCTCCAGCACGTGCTCGTTCTTGAACATCCAGGCAACCACCTTGTGCGAGCAGGACGTCTTAGCGTACGCCATCAACTTGCGCACTGCGTGGGGGTCGTCCGGAGTATTCCGGATCCCAGACCTGACCACTATCGGCCACAGGTCCACTTCCTCGACGCGAGGCTCTGGCTTCCCCTTCTCGCCCTCGACCTGCTCCCGCGCGGTCCTGCGCTTCTCCAATGCGCGGGCGGTCGTCGGCTCCCTCTTCGCCGCGGACAGCGGCGGGTGGTCCGCGGGCCAAGCCAAGTAGTCAACGTCCAGGGCGCTCCGCGGCTTCTTGGGCGTCGCGTTCGCGCAGTACCCGACGGCCGACCAGTGCCCGTCGTGGCTGCAGGACCAGTGAGAGGCGAGTTGGTACCTGTTGAGCAAGGCCCGCTTCACGGTCAGGAACTTGCTCTTCTTGCCCAGGTGCAAGGCCACGTGGTAGTGCGCCCGCCGGACGCCTGCCACTGGCGCGTGGTATTCTTTGAATACCACCAGCTTCTTGACCCCGACGGGCGCGGCCCCCTGCCCGCGGTGGCTTGCGAGCCACGCGGGGTCGGCGTCCGGAGCGCCGCAGCAATCCAGGAAAGCGTCGCGGACCTCCTCCCGCGAGAAAGCCGCTGGCGCTCTGAGACCCTCCTTGTCCGTGTGCGGCAGAGTCACCAAGTAGACCTCCCGCGAGGCGTTCCTGTTCTCCTCGCCGACGACGTGCTCGAGGAGCGCCGTCTGCTGGCTCTGCTTCCCCACGAGCCTGCGGCGCTTCTCTGGCCTGTCCACCGAGAGCGCCATCCCCCCGCGCGACCCGGCCAGGGCCAGCCCCCGCCCCGCTGAGCCGACAGGCTACAGAGAAAAACGCAATGCGGACCGTCGGGGTCTTCGGGGGCATCGTAAACCGCCGCCTGGCTGCTCAGTTGGGGAGCTCGTTGCACCTGGGTCGTCTGCGCACCTGTCGCACTTGAGCGCGCCCCGTTCACCTGGCGCGTGTGGCCCACCTGTCGCGTGCCGCGCACCTGTCGCACGCGGCGCACTTGGCGCGCCTGGTGCACCCCCTGCACCTCTGGGCGGGGTCGGCGGATCCTGTCCATGGATGCCGCTCGCGCGGCATTGTTGGACATGTGCAAACATGCATAACAACTATACTGAACCTACAGTGAACCATCAGTGAACCAACAGTGAACCAACAGTGAACCATTGCAAATTACATAGTGAACCTCAATTTTATATAAAAAAGTTCCCTACTTTTTTAAAAAATAGAATTCGAGGTTCACTATGGTTTTTACGAAGGTTCACTGTTGGTTCACTGTTGGTTCACTGTTGGTTCACTGTTGGTTCACTATGTTTTTGCTGCATGTCTCTTGCGAGGGGCTCTCTGGGGCCGCCAGGGCGCTGGCGCCTGGGGGGCCTCGGCGGACAGAATCATAATGCCAAGATCAGGTACTTTCGACTACGTCTGCTGGCCCTGTAGCCGCAAGGGCGGTGGACGCACGGATTGGTCTTGATCGTGGACCGCGACTGGCTCCCTTCCCGCGCCCCACGTCGCTCGCGCGGGTCAACCGAGGCGCGGGCCGCTACGGGCCGCCCGCCGCCCCGGCCCGCTGCGGTCTGCGCCGCGGTCGCCCGCCGCCCTGGCCCGCCGCGAATCGCGCCGCGGCCGCCCGACGAAACCGCGCGCGCGCTCAGTTCCCACCGCCCTCGGCGAAGTGGCCGCCCTTCGCCTCGACCAACAAGCCGCAGCGCTTGTGCAGGCTGCCCATGATGCTGTGGATGTACTCAGAAGGCGTCGCCAACGCCGTGCGGCGCAGCCGGGCCAGGTACTGCGCCCGCGTCTCCGTCTTGCTCGCGGGCCAGTCCTTCTCCTGCCCCCTCATGCGCTTGTTCAGATTGGCCCAGAAGGCGAAATCAAGCGGCATCAGATCAGGGGACCGCTTCGGCAAGTCCAACGTCTGGATGCCAGCGGACTTCTTCGCCGCCATGCCCGAGCGAGATTTGTAGCCCGTGGGGTCGTTGTCTTCCATGACGCGGAACTTGCCGCGCACGGAAGGGTAGGCCCTCTTCAAAGCGGGCTGGAGCGCCCCCGAGTACATTCGCCCCGCGGCTGCGGCGTTCCACCTGCCGACCACCTGGTGCCACATCAACACCTTGCCCGCGCCGATGGCGCACGCGATGGTCACGGAGCCCTTGCCCGAACTCTGCTTCAGAACCTGGGGGCGAGCCAAATCAGAGCGCGCCGTCGGCCACTGGCCTGGCGCTGAGTGGCCGCGGCGCGGTCTCCGATTTGCGCCAGCCCGAGAACCTTAGGGTTGCTCGGCTTGACGTGGCCCACGGAGAAGTCCCGCTTGCGCTTCCTGTACACCCCGCGAACCTTGCGCTTTGCCGCCACCTTCCTGTACTTCGCATTGGGCAGCACCTGGAACACCTTGTTGTCCATGCACGCGTGGACGTACTGTGACCACTGGCTGGGGCTCCGGTGCTTGTGCTCGCGGGCCCACTGCAGGCGCTCCTTCTTGTCCCCATCAGAAAGGTCAGGCTTCTCGTACAGCGGGCGGAACTGGTAGCCATTCTCAGCAAACGCGCGGCGCACTGTCTTGATGTCGCATTTCAACTTCATCTCGGACTTCAGCATGGCTGCCGTCACTTCCTTTGTGCCGCCCGAGGACTTCAGAAGCTTCTTGTAAGCGCGCTGGGCAGCGAGAAACCCTTTGGGGGTGCGGATGGAATGCTTCGGGCGGCCCTTGGACTTCTTGGTCGTGTTCTTTTTGAACAAATGCTTCGAGACGGTGTCCGTGGAGCGGCTCAAGGCCGCGGCGATCCTCTTGACGCCCATGCCGCTGTCATGCAAGCGGCGCATTGCGACGTGCTCGTCGGCAGATACATGAGTGAAGGATTTCGGCGACATTCTCCGGCTGTGGAGACAACGACGGGCCAAATGCGCTCGGTCCAGAAAGCGCTGCGGTCATCCTTCCAACGGGGGCATCCTGAAAATGGATGCAGTCCAGTGAGCGAGGGCATCCTCTATCTCGGATGCCCTTTTTTCCATTAGTATTGCCATAGGTTCGGGTGGCTTCTGTCCGTGAAAATGGTCTAGATCGGCGCGACATGCGCGCGCAGGTGCGCAAGGGGCATCCATTTTGGGATCCCCCGTCGCTGCTGCTTCGTCGGCTGCCCTGTGGCTGTATCGTTGGCTGCCTGGTTCCTGGTGGCCTGCCTGCTCGGCTGCCTGTTGGCTGCCTTGCTGGCTGCCTCGATGGCTGCCTCGTTGGCTGCTTTGTTGGCTGTCTCGTTGGCTGCCTCGTTGGTTGTCTCGTTGGCTGCCTCGTTGGTTGCCTTGCCGGGTGCTGTGTCGGTGGCCTCGTTGGTTGCCTTGCTGGCTGCCCTGTCGACCGCCTCGCTGCCTGGCTGGCTGCCTCGTGGGCTACCTCGTTGGCTGCCTCGTGCCTCGTGGGCTACCTCGTTGGCCGCCTCGCTGGCTGCTTCGCCAGTTGCCTCGACGGCTGTTTTTTTGGCTGCCCCGCGGGCTGCCTCGTCGGAGGCCTCGTTGGCCGCCTCGCCGGGTGCCTCGTAGGCTGCTTCGTTGGCTGCCTTGTTGGCTGCCTCGCCAGCTGCTTTCCTGAAAGCCTACCAGACAACGCCCCCATCAATATCACGAGCAAGCGCCTATCAATCTGCCATGGTGACGATGAAGGGAGCGCGGTAACCCAGGGCCCGAGGACGGCGAACGAAGGAACAGCATGTGCAGAGAAAAAATCGCAATCATGTGTATGCGCTGACTATATCACCCTGGGTAGGAATAAACAGACCCGTTCGCATCCCGGGGAACGATGGGGCCTCGGAGGCCTCAGGATGGCTCAAGGCAGCCCTCCACAGGACCGTCTCCAGCTTTCGATAATGCACCCGATGTCTGTTGTGGACGGTGGGACGACAGCAACATGTAACCCTGGGCAGGCAACGTCGAACTTCCCGCAGCTCCGGTAATCCATGGGGCCTCCGAGGCCTCCAGGACGGCCCAAGGCAGCCCTTCACAGGACCGTCTCCTTCCATCCCTCTTTCGGCCCCCTCCGATCCCCTCCCCTCCCCGTTCCCTTCCCCTCCCCTCCCCTCCTCCCCATGCCCTCTCTTCCCCTCCCATCGCCTCTTCGTCCCTGCCTCCTCTGATTCACTCCTCCCGCACCTGCTTAGAAATCCTCCACGCTCCACCGCTTGATCCTCCTCCCCACCACCTCCCATCCTCATCCTTCTCATTCCTCCTGTCTCTCACTACTGTTCCTGTCCTCCGCATCCTCATCCTCATCCCCATCCTCCTCTTCCTCCTCATCCTGATCCTTATCCTCCTCATCCTTCGCTTCCTCCTCCACCTTCCCCCCCAAGTCATGGGATCTTGGATTTATGAGGGTCGCTTTGAGCAATGTGCAGAACTACACAAACCTTGCCATGGACAGTAGATGGACAATATATTCGAACCCTCACACATTCGAGGGAGATTCTCAATCACCCCCGCGCCCCCGACATCAATGTTGATCTCAGCAAAGGCGGTGCTTTGGGGTTCGAATATTTCTGTCCACTCACGCCCCCCCCGTCGCCGCGCCATCAATATTAAATTCGGGGGTTCGGGGGGGCATCCTGGGCCACAGGGTTCGAATATAATGTCCATGTACGGGGGCTGCATGGCAGTGGAAAGCTGTAGTGGGAGATGTGGTGGTAGCGGGGTCTACAATGGGAACTGCATGGTGTTGGGAAGCTGCGGTGGCAACTGTGGTGGTCGCCAGGCAACGGTGGGAACTGTGGTGGTTGCTGGGCTGCAATGGGATTTGCGGCAGTAGCGGGGGGTCAGTCGGAATTGTGGAGGTAGCGGGGCTGCAGCGGTAAGTGTGGTGGTAGCAGGCACAAAGGTGGCGGTGATGCGTTGTTACGGTGGCTCAAGCTGCTGCGCTGGCACGGTGGCTGAGGCTGCTGCCCGAGCAGGATACCTGCGTTGCTGCGCTGGCACTGTGGCTGACGCTGGAAGAAACGATCTTCGAAATAGTTGCATTTATTCGGAACGTTGAACCTCGATCTTCCAAGACGAGGAGCAGCAGGGGGCCAACTGGAGCTGGCGCGCTTAGCCCCTTGCAGAACACCGTGAGGCTTCAGGGGCCAACGTGGCCCAAGAGACCCGCGGTGCCAATGGCCTAGTTCCCTGGAGCGCTGGGCCCTTGTGGAGGCCACTGGGCTCGCTTCCTGTGAGTGATCCCTAAAATGGGCAGCGCGTCGCCCTGAGCCTTCCTACGTATGCTGTCGCCTTATTCCCGTGCGAGCACGGGGCCCTTGTTGAGGCCGCTTGGCCCCTGCTAGCAAGCCCTGTCTTAGTCTGCTGGGCTCAGAGCGCCAGAGCGTCCAGGCGCTCGGGCTCAGAGGCATCGCTGGGGCCTGCTCAGAGCGTCCAGGCGCTCGGGCTCAGAGGCATCGCTGGGGCCTGCGCAGAGCGCCAGGTCCTCGGGCTCAGAGGCATCGCTGGGGCCTGCGCAGAGAGTTCAGGCGCTCGGGCTCCAGAGCGCCCACGTGCTCTGGATCACTTTTCAGAGCGTCCGCGCGCCCTGGAGCACTTTTGAGAGCGCCCACTTGCTCTGGGGCATTTTTCAGAGCGCCCACTTGCTCTGGGGCATTTTTCAGAGCGCCCACTTGCTCTGGGCACTTTGCGGAACGCCCAAACACGCGCGGCCACTCTGAGCTGGTTGTAAAGTGGTCCGTTCTGGTTGTAAAGTGGCCCGTTCTGGTTGTAAAGTGGTCCGTTATGGTTGTAAAGTGGGCCGTTC